GGGTCGCGCACGGTGTCCCGGCACGACCCCGCGGCTCCTCGGCCGGTGTCCCGGTGCTGCTGGGGGTCTCCGTGCGGGGTCCCGGCAGCCGGGAGGGTCTCACCCCGCCGTGTCCTTGCAGGAGTGGGGAGTGGTGGAAGGCGCAGTCGCTCACCACCGGCCAGGAGGGTTTGATCCCCTACAACTTCGTGGCCCTGGTGAACAGCCTGGAGCCCGAGCCGTGAGTAGGGGTTGAGTAGGAGCCGTGCCCCGGCACGAGCTGTGCTGGCGGGGAGGGAAGGTGCCAGGAGCATCCCCTGAGCGCCAGGGGGGGGAAGGTGGCCTGAGCCCCCCCAGCCCTAACCCTGCCCCGTGTCACCAGGTTGTTCTTCAAAAACATCAGCCGCAAGGATGCAGAGCGACAGCTCCTGGCATCGGGCAACACGCACGGCTCCTTCCTCATCCGGGAGAGTGAGACCTCCAAAGGTACCGTCCCGCGGATCCCGCCGGCATCTCCTGCCACCGGCACTGGGAAAGGCACGGGGAAGCACAGGAGGAGTGCTGGAATCCTGCACCCACACGGTGCCCCGTCTCCCCAGGCTCCTACTCACTGTCGGTGAGGGACTTTGACCAGAACCAGGGTGAGACGGTGAAGCACTACAAGATCCGCAACATGGACAACGGGGGGTACTACATCTCCCCCCGCGCCACCTTCAGCAGCTTGCACGAGCTGGTGGAGTATTACACACGTACGTGCCATCCAGGGGCTGGGGGAACGAGTGGTCCAGGGGCTGGTCGTGCCTGCAGGAAGGGGATGGGAATGAAATGGGATGGGGATGGGATGGGGATGGGATTGGGATGGGGATGGGATGGGAATGGGGTTGGGAATGGGGCTGGGATGGCATGGCATGGGGATGGGACAGGGCAGAATGGGATGCAATATGATGGGACAGAATGGGATGGGATGAGATGAGATGGAATGGGATGGGACGGGATGGGGATGGGGATCGGGATGGGATGGGGTGGGATTGGGATGGGGTGGGGTGGGGATGAGGATGGGATGGGGATGGGAATGGAAATGGGATGGGATGGGGATGGGGACGGGATGGGGACGGGATGGGAACAGGGTTGGGATGGCATGGCATAGGGATGGGACAGGATGGGATGGGACAGGGCAGAATGGGATGCAATGCAATGGGACAGAATGGGATGGGACAGAACAAGCAGGACGCACAGCTACCCGTGCCCCAGCAAAGGCGTCGCGGGAGTCGCTGAAGCTGGTGGAGAAGCTGGGAGCGGGGCAGTTTGGAGAAGTCTGGATGGGTGAGTCAGGGCGAAACTGGGGTGCTTCCTCCTGGAGGAAGGCACCGATGTGGGCAGCGTCTGCCGAGCCCTGTGGCATCCTCAGCCGGGGTCTGGCAGGGAGCAGCCAGCACAGCCCCAAGCGTGGGACCATGGCTTTTTACAAGGGTCCTGGAAGCAGGGAGAAACCCAGCAGCTAGAGCAGCGCAGGGACAGCCCAAGCTTCCCCCTGCTCCCATCCCTGCCCCCCTGGCCCCCGGCACCGCTGCCTGGGCAGGCACCCACTGCCAGGATGGGTGCACGGGGGCTGCACT